TAGCAGTATTGGCAGCTGCTGCCTGCACTAGGAGCAAATCTTCCCAAATGTTGCTTTCCTTATTCCCCACCTCGCTTTATTTGTTTCCCTTGGGCTGTTCATCTGTTAGTACCACTCACTCCTCTGCCTGTCCCACATTCTCTTTGTAAGAGTTTTCCTTTGTTTTAGATTTCCTGGTTGCCTAACAGCAACAGTCTGCCACTGCCGAAGAAAAACTACTAGGAAGTCAAGGGCTAAGTATTGCTGACAACACTGGGGTTATGACCTGGAAATGTAGTGGAGAAACTGAATGGGCTAATAGTGAAAATGTATGTAGGGCTTGAAAAGGTGAGTACTATGGATGTACCTGTTTGTGTAAGAAGATCTGTACGTATTTGGATGCAGATAAGCCAGAATCTACATTAAAAGAATGTCACAAACTCTAGAAATGCAGGCACTGCAATGCAGTTTGATTCACCCTTTAAAGTAGGGTAAAAAGGGATTTCAGATATTCTCTGTGCACTCAAAGTAGCCAGCAACGGCATGATGGCATTTCTAGGTAAAGGCCTTAAACAGAGTATATAAAAAGACTGGAATGATGTTTGAACAACATGTCCAGCTCCCAAGCATTGTCTCTTTCCTGCTATCAATGACACCCATTGTGCAATAACAACATTTGCAAAGAGATATGTCCTGTTTTGTGCACAAAGAATATATTGAAGCAGCCATAGGGCTGCATTAGCCTTAGCTAGAAAAGTCCCCAAGGGTCTGTCTGCCAGCTGCTGAGTGATGTAGAGCTGCTGCTGCTGATAATAGGGTACATGTGCTGGCTTTGAGCTGAACTAGGCAATCTGGGCCACAGTCAGATGTGCTCAACAAGGATCAAGTTCAAACCTGTTTAAGAAGTTAGTTCCCGTCAGCGGTGATTTAAGCTAAGTAGTTCTGCTGTATGTTGGAAAGGACGAGGAGTGCTCACACGGTCAGCTACTTCATCTTGGCTGTCACAGTGGTGATTTCAACACAGCCAGGGGCGTCAGAAAGACAACAAACAGCTGAGATCTGTGACATCCTAAATCATGCAGACACAAGCTTCATGAAGGTGTATTTCCATTATAGATGGTTGCATGCTTGTATGTAGCAGAATTGTGCTACATACTCTACCCTTCTTTCCAAGTAGTTAAAATCACTAGGTGCCTAGACTTCATTGTTCCACACTGGAAATGCCTGTTGTTGGTTGAACATTGCCGATCCATTCAGGAGCAAAACTGCAGCAGGCAAAATGCCAGTGTGGGTGAAGCTGAAAGCGCAGGTTATTGCTGTAGAGGTTAACCTACCACTTGAGAGAAAACGTAAATTCCCACACTCTACTGCTATGCGCTCTCACCAGAAAGGAAATTAAAAAATTATCACTGCAAGTTTCAAGACACATGCGCTAATAATTAGGCAAAAGAGCATTGTACATGAAATCTGTGTTAATGGTACCCGAATTTATTATCAGCCATGTTCCTTCTAGGAATATCCCACATATGCTAAGCAGGATATACTGTTGTGTGAACAGCATTTCACACCATCCAGTATCACAGAGATCAGCTATATTGTTTTTTAGGCTTTGAAGCAGAGATGTCCTTGTATCAGAGCAGTCACGCTGTGGAGCATAGCTCCTCTATGTTTCCCAAAATTATTCAGTTCCCTCATCAGAAGAATGTGCGTTGCACAGCAGGAAACACAACTAAATATCTTCTTAGTGATTATCACCTCCTGGAAGTATTAACGCCATATTCACTTGCATGGAGAAACTGAGTTCTAGAATAGCAGTTCAGCTGTAACAATTCAGCTTTTTCCTAAGAGATGCCCAGTGAGGGCATCTTCAGGCAGATCCACAAAAGTATGTAAGATCTAGGTAGGTCCCTGAGCAACAAGTAAAACACAGTGTTAAGATGGATGTGTCAAACCAGAAGTTTAGATACCGAAAAAAAAAAAAAAGCACAATAAGCAAGTGCCTTTCTGGCATAGACAAACTGTGGTTGAAACAAAGATGACTTCTTTCTAGAATGCATATTTCTGTCTGCTAAGTGATCACTTTATAGTGAAATGACACATGAAGAAATACAAGGAAAATGGTTTAAATCTTGTTACATCCTAAGGATCCCACTGACCGACAACAGCATTTCACCTTTGTGTGGATTCAGAGAACAGCAGGATCTGAACAGCAAATCACCTAGTTGGGTTGTTGGTACTTCTAGACCTATAATAAGGAAGTGCTGAATGCGCATATCTCATAATCTGAATAGAGAGATCTTAAAGCATCTCTCAAGGCCTCTTGAAGGCAATGCATACAACATACAAATGGAAGATGTAATGTACAATGTCATAAATCTTTTATGAGGATTATCTCTGTTATCTTGTCTGACATCAGAGAATTACATGTAATATTAACACATAATTGCCTTAGTCATAGAAAGATCTTTTAGAAAAAGGCAGCAGAGAGGAAGTTTTGGTTGCTTTTAAGTCCAGAAGAAGAAAGGAAACTCTACAAATGACAAGTGGATCAAGCTAAAGTCCTGTCTGGGTTCACTCCAGATCTCACTCACCTGGGAGAATTAGCTGAGGGAACCGAGTCCCCACTGTGTTGATTTGCATGTAGTAAGACACAGACATGCAAAAGGTGGATGCCATATATTCTTGTGCCTCCATTTCCCTTTTGGTACGTTCAGCCTGTCTGCATGAGCGCCATGGTCTATGCAAAGCGGAAGACAATCAATGATTAAACCCCGTTGCTCCACATTGGCCAAAAAAAAAAGCCTTAGATTTGAATAACTCAAGCTCAGGATAGGGTTGCTTGACTTATGAGCCTCAGATGCATATCTATGCAGAAGATTTACTCCTTGCAGAGCCAGCCTAGATTCATCTTTGGTAGTTCCCTCCTACTGCCTCCATGTATTTTTCTTTATAGGACCCTGCTGTTTTCTTCAAAGAGAAAACTGATGAAGTATGATGCAGTTTCCCTGCTCTCTGTGGCTTTCCTTATGCCTCCTACCTACCTTGTCTCTTTTTTTTGTCCAGATGAATGAGATTCTAACCTAGCCTTGTACACTTGCTCTAGCTACATTATTCACCTCTCCTTCACACCTGTGTATGACCCTATTTTTCTTCTTAAAATTTCACTGTGGCTCTTTTTTAACAATAAAGCAGTTTTGGTCTTTCCCTTCTTAGAAATACTTCTCTATCAGCATCCCTTCCCTCTCCAGTTACCAGCCAATTACCAACTCTTTCCTTCCTTTCATCTCTAATTGCATCTCTAACAGCACTGAATGTGTTGTTTATTACCTATAAGCTGGTGTCAGAGGTGCTGTCTTAGACCCTCTCTAGTCCAGCCCCTACCCTTCTCACTCATCTCAACCCACTCTCACCAAGCTTTCTAACAATGGTAGGACAAAACGAAAAGAAGGGAAAGAACATGTTGGCATACCTTGTAATTTTAAATACCTATTTTTTATTCTCCTGTTTCGGAACTGATTAAAACCCCACTAAAATTAATGAAGTCTTTCCACTGATGTAATGATCCTTAGACCAGGACCAGAAAAATCATACATTATGTGAGTCAGGGTTCAAGAAGGAATTCCAGTATTTTCATTCATAGATGGCTCATTTCCTGTAGCTTTCACACTGTCCTTTCCACTCCAATGACCTCTGTCTGATCACATACAATCTCCTTTATATTCCCTCTTACAGAATAAGTAGTTGGATGTGCACAGAAGAATGTTCCATTTTCTGAAAGAATTTCTTGGATTCCCTGAAGAGATTAGTACAAAATTTTAATTAGGGGCATTGGCAGAGTTCCCAAATGCTGGTATATTAGGCTGTGGTTTTCATTTTCATCACCCATTTTGGTTCCTATACAATGCATAGGATTTCTGATGAGTAGTTTACTTTAAATAATGCGTGTTTTGTTCCCCCCGTTTTTATCCACCCCATTGATGCAGATGAGTCATGATAAGCAGCAAAGCCTGTCTTTCCCTTCCAAAGACCAGGGACATTGCCCAACATTGTGAGGACAATTGGTCCAAAAGATGTCAGAGATTGAAGTGACCAGTAAAATTTCCACTAAAACTCTGGAAGGCACACAGGATGCAAGTGTCATTAATTAAGCTCTAAGAACCTACAGTGCTGTGGGAACCTGGCATAAAATACACAAGCTGAACTTTGTTTGCAACTTCCTTCTATTTAGGAATTCATTAAGGGGCTGAAGCATTTGCAGAGATTTCAGGACTCAGTGCTAGAATGGCTAATTGCTGGCTTGGTCTTTTGTATACAGTGTAACACATAAAAGGACTGTGATCAAAGAATGCAGGTGCTGCTGAGGGCAGTGAGAATGCAAGTACGGTGATTGCTTACCGGATACAATATATAAAGTTTCATTTAGCTGTGCTTTGCTTTGGTCCACAATAGGATTTTGTAGGAATTCGTGAATGACTTTGACAGAAGTAATTTAATAAATGCATTGTTTAAGCAGAGCTGAAAGTTTATACTTTCATCATCTTCTTGTATTTTCACCTCTTCTAGCACTGGAGGAAAACATAACCACTACTTCAGATCTAACTTAGATGAAGGTTTTAAGTTGGTTTCACCTTCTTCAGTACATTAGAGGTGGCTGTCAGTTAATTATTGCTGGATTCATGGTCTTGTAATCAAGGAGAGTGAAGTTACACATTACAGACTAGCTCACCTATCTTCACAATGAAAGCTAAAGAAATCACAAATAATTTTATAGCTATATTTACCCTACCTAGATTTTCTTCAGTTCCTGCACAAACTGTTCTCGTCTTCACAATGTTTTCATATATTGCTTTTATCAAATAGCAATGAGAAGTCTATGGTGAAGCTTTCTCCTTTTTCAACAACTATTTGATCACCCCCCAAAAATAGCACAAGCCATATGAAACAAGTGGAGCTGTAGACCCTGTCTTGTATAGCATGGATGAGTAATTAAATAATATGCCCTTCTGTCACCGTTTTTGCAGGGAGGGGGCTCAAAATCTGTGTTCACAGGCTGAGAGCAGGTGTCTGTGATGAGATCCCATGCTGTGACATGCATGCAGCGCGTTCTTACATGAAAAGCCCTGACTGATGAAATGACCACAAGAAGACAACATGGAACCCTTACGGCATGATCAGAAGAAACTTAATTAAGCTCTGTGGTTAATTTTAAAGTGAGTGTGTGCCTGTTTTAGAAGAGTATTAAGAAAAATGAAAACACTGCTATTTTTTAATTATGTTCTAGTCTTCCTGACATTCTTCAAGCAAACTGTCTTGCTTCTTGCATGGTCAAATGATACAGTGACTCAGAAGTGAACACACACGTCTTTACGTAGATGGGATTTAGTAACTTGTCCAATGTGGTTTTAGAGTTTGTTTCTTAATTGTGGACGTTTTTCCTTTGGCAGAAGGCAGCACTGAACCCACAGTTCCTGTAGTTGTCCTCAAGACAGTTGTTTTAGTTGTAATTATATGACTGAAAGCATACAGAGACTAGAAATTCCCTATAATCTTGTTAGGATTTTCATCACAGAAAAGATGAATGTTTGTGTTAGAAATAATAAAAAAATAAAAATAAAATGAGAGTACTGATGGCCTTATGTTACTGTGCTTTTCCACTACAGAACTTAAAATGCTTTCCTGATTTCTGTGAAGCAGCTTGAGAAATTCTTTACATGTGCATGACTATGGCTATTGCGATAGTGGTGAAACAGATGTTTGAAAAGTGAAGCCACTTGCTCTAACAATGCTCTAAAAATCTAGTCAGTGATGAAACTAGAATGTCAATACTAAAGCACCCATGTCAATTTTAATGCAGAATATGCAGTGAAAAACTGTGGTCTAGCTATATATGGATTGGTGGAGTGATAAAAAACTTAAAGCTTCATATACAACTTTGCTTTTCTCGGGAGAAGAATTTGTTCTCTGTTCCTGATCTTGTTTTGTTTTGTGGGTTTTGTTTTTTCTTTTAACCTCAGTACAGGGTAGGTCCTTCTCAAACATGAAAGGCTGCTCTGTCTTGAGAAATCCATTAGCCAAATTAGACATAAAATAATGAGGGTGAGAAGAAGGCAACAAGGGATGGGGGGAGGGGAAATGTCGAAAAAGGATAGCTAGAGACAGTTCTCTGCAAGGGGAGCCAACTGGAAGAATGGTGCAGTACCTTGACTAATGTAGAACTAATTTAAACTGCATAGGAAAAAGCACTTCTAAATATACTAGAGGGAACAATCTTTCTATGGTAAATCCATCCCCAGTGAAATTCCATTGACTTCAATGGGGTTTCTTCTGGGACAAATTTTGCTTGATAACCTAATAAGTCTTTTCTGTCTCTAATTTCTAAGGACCTTTTGTCAGAAGCATAGCAAGGAACTTCAGTCTGGCTTTCAAAAGTGCAGAACATCCAAAACTCCTAGTGAACTCTCCAGGAATTACAGGTACTCAATACCCCTGCAAATTAAAACTGAATTAACTATTTCATGTCTGCTGTGAGTTTGCTTTCTGTACAGTGCCATCACATTTGCAAAACAACCTTAAGTTAACCTCCTAAGCCTTTTGAGGCAGAAACTTCCTATGCATAGAATAGGTACAGCCCTTCACACAATGCAATATGGAGCTCAGCAAAGGCCTCCAAGGACTAATACAATACAATACATTAGTAAAAACAACAGTGAATTATAAATTCACAGTGTCTGTATTTGCAGGGCAATGGGGAATACATATTTGGGCTGGTTATGTATAGATGGGACTACTTTTGTTACCCAGTTTCCAAGTGACTGTCTGTGGTCCGATTTGTCAGATAAATTATGTCCAATGTGTTCATAGTTTCATCGTTTTTGTGAACTTAGAAAATTTGTCTTTTTGCGACTCTGTAAAAGCCACATTGAGAAATAGTAAAAAATAAATGAAAGCATCTTATTATTGCCTTCAGCAAAGAACAAGTGACTCTTCAAGTGCTGGAGTTTCATGTACTTCTAATAAAATCTTTATGTACCTATTAAATTTACAGTGAGATTTACAGTTGGCAACTTTGAGGTGACCAGGGCTATCATGTAAAAACCACATCAGACTTGTTTTGAAAGTTTCAGGTCAAATACAGAACATGCTTTTTGGGACATTTTTCCTTTCACTGAATTACTATTGTAAAGTCTGCTCTGCTTGGCTTCCACCATGGAAGATGTACATCGTACAGATAATGATAGTGTTTTACTAATGCATTTCGTTCTCTCACTTAACTTCTTGATTTTATCTGAGGAAAAAAAACAGGCAAACAGATTTCCAAGGACAGAAAACCTCACTATTTAATGAGCCATGATCTGGTTTTATTTTGAGAGGAGAATTACTAGTTTATCTATCTCCGTTACTTTAAAAAACAGACCTGTTTGATTACTCAATATTTGTTTTTTAAAAGGGCAGCTCCTGGGGATCTTAAAGAAATCCGTAATGCAACAGGGCAGGAGTATAATAGATTGGTTTGGAGAAGAAAAAAAAAAAGCCAGTGAGGGGAAAACATAACATACAATACATTTGGTGTGAACTTTTCCCAGAAGATTGTTTTAGCCTCATAGTTCACTTACAAGCAGAGTACAGTGATGCTGGGCAGCCTGCCAGTGCTTGTTATTATAGTACTGTGTGAGCCAGTTCCCCGGTGAAGAAAGAAAAAGAGAGAGAAATACTTTTCTTTGCGTTTCATAGGTGTCCTACACTTTCCTCTCTTCTCTCTCTGAACACCCTCCCGTTCTCCCTGCTCTCTCTGAACACCCTCCCGTTCTTTACATCGAGGTGCTTTGGTGCATGCAGCACTGTGCAGATGTCATGCTACTAGTATCGCATGTGGTACTTTCACAGTTCAAGAGGACTGACACAGGGCTGTATCGCCTCACTGCACTGGAGGTTTCAGATGACAGCTCTGCCTGACAGTCTAACAGTAAGGCACCCTGTGATATGCGTAGTGAGGATGAGTAACACCTTGTCCTCACAACAGAAGTATCTCAGATGGGAACCGTTCCTAGGAGTGAATGCCAGGCTAAGTTGCATGTCTACACTGAATTTTGCAGTCAGATGTGAGCCAGGATAGCTTGGGCTTAATACCATGCTACAGATGCAAGTGAGACATCTCTGAGTTGTTCAGAGCACTGGCAGACCTCCTTCATGTTAACCCACAAAACCGTGCACAGACACAGAGTTAAAGGCTCACAGTCTAGCCCTGAACATACAGCAGAACTGACTATGGATGAAGGAGGCCTCCCACATACTTGTATCTATATTCTACCTGGAAATTCATCCAAGAACATTTCAAAATCAGCAAACATAGCATGGAGTTGTTTTTATTCCCCCCCCTCCATATCCACACACCTCCTCTTCATGCTGATATGTTGCCTTGAACCTTTAAACTACAGCACTCTCTGGGAAGCACTTACACAGCCTCCATCAGAAGCATGCTGGGCTCCCAAATGTGATAAGAAGCTGATAAAAATGATCTGGGCGTTAAAACAGCCTTAGTGGAAGAATGTTTAGCTAAATAGTTACCATCTGTCCCTTAAAGTGAGCACGTCCTTGTTCTGCCCTGGGCTGACCACTATGAGCTGTTGCTTTTGTGATGTAGTCCATGTGCGGACTGGCTGTTGTTCCCAGGACCTTGGGCAACTGTTTATGCAATGTGGACTTTATGAGAAACAGTTTCAGTTGCAGGGATAATTTTTTTTATTATTTATTTTTTAAAGGATTAAAGATTTGTAATGAAAACAACATTTTTGTCTAATACAGAAAAATACCGGACTGGAGCTCAGCTGAACATTCGTACAGCACATTTCTTTAGGGAAACCAAAGAGGGAAGGAATCCTAAAATGCTAAAAGAATTTCTTCCTAATAACTATTCTAAATTTCCCCTCTTTCAGTTTAAAGCCATTTCCCCTTGTCCTGTCAGTGCATGCCCTTGTAAAAAGTCCCTCTCAAGATTTCTTGTAGGCCTCTTTAAGTAATGGAATCTGCTCTAAGGTCTCCCCAGAACCTCCTCTTCTCCACACTGAACAAACCCAACTCTGTCAGCCTGTCTTCACAGAAGAGGTGCTTCATCTCTCTGATTATCTTTGTGGCCCTCCTCTGGATTTGCTCCAACAGATCCATATTATCCTTAAACTAAAACCAAAACACAGCACTGTACCAGCCTCTAGGAAAACTAACTCTTCCAGCTGAAACAGGTCAATAGACAACATCCACAGCCTTTCCCTCATACACTAAGCACATAGCCTTGTCAGAGAAGGAGATCAGGTTAGTGAAGCAGGGCCTGCATTTCATCAACCCATGCTGACTAGTTCTGGTCACCTGGTTGTCCTATAGGTGCCATATGATGGCACTCAAGATGATCTGCTCCATGACATTCCCTGGCACCAAGTCAGACTGACAGGTCTATAGTTATTTATGAAACAGAGACTCTCCACCTGGGGTCAGCAGTGGTACTTCTCAGAGCAAGAGTTTTGCTCCAGAGGGGAGGTAGGCACAAAGAAGCTGGTTGTTCCAATTCATCTGCAATGGGGTTTGGACTTCAGTTGCCTGAACATGCCAAGAAGCAGGACGGCTGAAATAAGAAACTGAGATTTGAGGACAAAGGTCAAGGTTTCTTTCTCTCCATGCTTCAATATCTGCAGAGGCAAGGAGATACAGTAGACTTCAAGAAGAGGTTGTTGATAGTGCAGGTGATTATGAAGGCTTTTGGTGCTTTACTTGAGCTGTAATACATGTGTAGTTTGAGCGTGAGGTTGCTGTGCAAATCTGTTACCTTTTCTCTTAATTATTTTTGATTCTAAAATGAATCTAACACCCTCAAGGTGTGCGGTTTTGAGTAGGTTGTTAGGGCATGAATAGTCTCAGCAGTAAGGCCTGGAGCAGAATTGCCAAGGCCTGCACTCAGGGAAGAGCAGACAGAAAGGAGAGTTTCACATACAAGCCATCCTGTGGTCCAAGAGTTAGAAACACTTCCTAGATCAGACCCAGACCCAGCTGGCTTGGGAATATGTGAGATCCCTGTTCAGCCCCATTAGACTGACAAGAGAAACTAACCAATATATATGAAAGTTGTGGAGGTTATAAATGTGTACAATTTATGTGTTTCAAAATGTGTTAGAGGATGGAAAGAATATTCTGTAGTTCTGAATCAGCAGGTGTTTCTGGTGTAAAGAACACAGGAACAAAGTTCAGAATTGGGATAGTTTGTTTAGTTTGCGTTTCCATCACCACATTTGCATGTGCAAATAGCCTTTAAACAGCAAGTTGCAAAACAGCCTGCAAAAACACTGCAAACAGTAGCCACTGCAAAAAAGTGGCCACAGATTTACACACAAAGGGATGCAACAGCAGTGATGTTATTCAGAGTACTACTTTGGTTAAAGTACTCTTTTCATTAAAGCTCAAAACCCCAGGTCTTGTGATGGGGTGCAGAAGCTGAAACCTCCTAGCCAGTCGATTGTTCATACAAGAAATGCTTCAAATGTTCATAACTATAGTCAGAGGACAACCAGATAAGAGTATAACTCAGTTCTGTTACTTGAAATTTTCAGGATCAGACCCTAGCGAGC